TAGCACACGCCACAATATATATACATATGTTAAAATAGGTTCGAAATAGGATCCAAAGATAAACAATACTGTTCACTTATCTTTAATGTTCTGGTTTAAATTACAGGGATCATCATTGAGAGATCATTGTTTTGGAGATCATTGTTTTCACTCTTGTAATAAAACATACTTAGTATCAGTGACTAAAACTTCAGGGGAACTAAAAACTTCACCATTGACTAACAATCATTTTAATTTAGTTAGGTAATAATGTCTCTCTTTTCCTTGTCCGAAAAAAATTATTTTAGTGGATAGATAGAGTGAGGATAGCAGAGGTAGAATGGGAGTTTTCTCCAATTTGAGACATGTTAGCTGGAAATGTTTTGTCATTATTTAATGCTAAATGAACGGGAAATGAATCTTTCTGAACGATTTCATCCCTGTAAATATTAAGAGAAAACAATGTATCATTCTGTATCGATTCAATTGCAATGATAAGCCTTTAACAGCTTTTAATTTTGCATAATCGTATGTTTCGTTCCAGTGGGGCAAGCAGAGGATCATTTATAAAAGAATCCTCACGAGAAGAGAAACGACAGATATGTAGAACGGACGACTTAATAAGCACAAATTTATTATTGGCTAAAACGGGGTTCTTTTTATAGGTAGATAATTTATCAGGATGTTGCGCGTTGAGGTGACGCTTTTTTTCTTACCTTGACTAATCAAGTTATAACTTAGCATACTGATAGTATTACTCTACTAAACTTTCAAAATATTGTAATTCCTTATATATAATCTTTCGGAGACAGTTTAGTAGTAAAATATACACTGAATTTATATGGTGTAAGTAGTATAAGCTGAAAGTTAAGAAGTCTGATGAATTGGTTAAAAACATACATTTGGAATTTATTTAAATATAAAAAGGTAGAATATCACAGATAACTAATTTCTTATTTGATGTTACGAGAATGAACGAATAAGCGTATCAGTAAATTTGTAATGGTATTTAAAAATGAAATTATATTGTACATTTATGAAATTCCTAAAACACTCCATCATTGTAATTTCACTGTCAATGTAATGGAAAAAACCCGGAAAGTCCTTTCAAAGCATTTTATTATACATAATTGCTATTAATTTTTTTCCTTTCCTGTGCCTTGTAGTCCAACCTTTATTCAGGTCTCTTTTAGCCACGCTATGTGCTCTTCGGTTTTCCTTGTATGTTTTGATTATTTGACTGTGTCTAAAGATATAACATTTACTACCTAGTTAAAATGTTGCATGCTACCGGACCATTGGAGCTAAGATCGTGCTCGACTAAACTTGATGTCAATTGATGATTGTTAACTTTTGACTGGGTTCTACGAGCGGTTAATGGATTACTTTTTTAATTCTCATGTATCGAACTGTTATTTACGAACGATTACTTTTCACATTAAGCACGTTACTTTGTGCTAGAGAAATCTTTGACTCTTTAGCACAGGATGTACTGTTTGAGATACTTCGTATCCTTGGTATAATTTGTTTTCTTTCTTGAATTAAAACCGTGTAAACTGAGCAAAGTGTCTGTGTTAGTATAAGTCGTTCAAAAACAATCACCATACAGAAGAACGTAGTTCGACATATCCGAATAAGCTTCAGCGTCTTAGTTTTGCATTGGGACCGAATATTGGGATTTAGACCGTTTCGGTCTGCCAGTCAGATCATTCGGATAATTTCTCTAAATCATTCTAAAGCTTTAGACTTTTTTAATTTAGTTCTTATCGCTCCCCATATCTTGACATCGTAAGCATATAACAAAACCAATGATGATGGGAAACTACGAAAGTCATTCATGTCTAGAAGCAACAACACTGGCTCCAATACAGTACCACTAGGCACTCCGCTAAGCACACTTTTCCAGTTAGACAACTTCTAGTTCACCCATAAACTTTGTCGGTGGCCAAGTTTAAAGTCCTATATCCACGTAAATGAATTGCTTCCAATCCCAATATCAATTACCTAGATAACAACTTATTGTGAAGAACTTTGTCAAAAGACTTACCCAAGTCGACGTAGATTGGGTCTATAGGTAACTTTTGATTTATAAGAGCGCATCAACTTCCACGGGCTACTAATAAGCTAGTTTTACATGAATAACTTTCTCTAAAATCATAGTACTTTTAAGAAAGAATCCGTTTTTTGTCACAAAAATCAAACAACTTCTGAATAATCTTGTCTCAAGTTTTAAAAATCGTGCTGGTTAGGTTTACTGGTCGATAATTACCACGTGTTCATCTCGTACTTGTTTTAAAGACAGAACTTATTATGACGTTCTTCTAGTTTTTTGGTAATCGACTCTTGGTTGCAGATGGATTAAAACACATATTTGAGGGGTTCGCGCCGGAACTGGCCCATTCCATTAGTAACCTAGGGTGTATTTCATCTACACCCCCAGATTTACCTATATCACGCTTATTTAGTAAAGCAAGGAGATTGTCTTCTACAATGGTCGCAGTGTCCAGTGTGTGTCTGTGTGTCAAAGGCAAAAATGAACATCTTTGTGGTATATAAATTGTAGTATATTCTGTCGAACTAATTAAGATGTAACACCAGTTAGAATCGGAATAGCTCGTATAAGAATGATGAGAAGATGGAATTGAAAAGAACGGGAATGTAAACAAAGATTAATCTTCATGGCAATGAAGAAACGATTAAGTTTGAGACAACTGATGAAAGATACGCAAATGAAGTATTTGATGTTTTGTTTTCGCATTCAGTGAAAGAACTCTGAAGTTTTGCATTCAGTAGTAAATTGGTCCTCCCCACGTGACTTTGCATTCACTACAAAGTTACTTAAGTAGTTTAAGGATACCTTTGCTGTACTATGGACTCAGCTGTACTTTGTCTCATTAAAATTGCAATGTTGCCTCTTCTCTTGATCCTTTATTTTATGTACGATTATATGCGTTTGAGCTATTCTTTAGACTCTTTAACAGTCTTTTGATTATGCAGTCCACGAAACTTGAGGATAATGAGTCATCAATATTTCGAGCTTGCTGATGATAGAGTTTTCTCCCATCAGTACCTTGTAACACAAATCTCGTCCACATCCTTCCCATTTTATAAAGACAGGCGCGGATCTCCTTAATGAACCACGGTGGAGAGTTTCTCAGATTCTTTGGAGTAGTTCAAGGGACTTGCCGTGTCAATATCCATCTTATTATGACATACTTCCGTCAGCAATCGAATAGGTTAACACAACAATGAAAGCAAAAGCATCTGTGAGACTCAATATGGCTTAGTAAATTGGAATATCAGCTTCTAATCCTCGAATAACACAGAATACCTAGACAACTTGCTGAAACCGGAGGCTGTTTGTAAATACCGGAAAACGCCGTAGAGAACTAAGATCGTTGTGTTTGAGATTAGGTGGTGATTGGAGGTAGGATACCCTGAACCCGGGTTTCTTGCTACTTAGCGCTCATCAACAGGGTGTACCCGTAATTTTGAGGTAAATGATGCTCCCTGATGGATTCGATCCCGTGTCACCCAGCTTCACAGTCAGAGACGTTACCACTGAGCAATCCGAGCCGCGACCAACTACCTGTAGGACTGAGATGTAATCACAATTGATTGATCACTGGGTGGTGATCAATGCCATGTGTGTCAAGTCCTTATTTAGTGCAGATCGGGTGCTATCGACCATCTTGCCATGCGGTCACCAGTCTATGTGACGACACTGCGTGCACTATGTTGAGATCCGGGTACAAGGTTTCTTGTGGACTAGCTCCAATCACCGTTGCAACATAGTCGATAGTATTCGATCTGCACTGATAAGGACTTGACACACTTGACATTGATCATCAACCTGTGATCAATCAATTATGATCGTTGTGTTTGATGTTGGTGTGAAAGTTTTATTCTTTAACATCGAGTCTTTCGTTCGGATGATGTTGACTATCTTGACCGGTATTCCATCGATTCGTAGATATAGCTTATTGTTAAGAGAAATATTAAGTTGGAAAAGCTATCTTATTACTAGTACCGTCGTTTTGCAGATATCATGGTGAATATTGTTGGTGAGTAAATTGTACTGAGCTAGTTATCGGTGTTTACAATTTATCAGGCAACAGATGACCATTCTGTCTCATTACATGTCAGTTCTGGTTTTCACATCCAACCGAAGTTAGCTGATTTGCCTTTATTTCAGCGTTTTAAAAATAAACTCTACCGATGCCCACACATTTTAGATTCCACGACATCTTAAGTCATTCAAACAGTCCCACATTATGGACTTCAGTGAAGGACAGTCGGCTGAAATCTAATCTCTTCAAATATTCTACAATGAAGAACTTCCTCCACAAAATGGTCATCTTACATCCTTCCTCACCAACTCTTCACGAACACCTACAGATGCTGAGATCTTGGTTTGCTGATCACAGGTACCTTAGAAACCAGTGCCAGTTACCTGGGTAATATGAACAAAACCTACGTCGTTTTTTTACAAGAAAGCTTGACCCACTCACCGCAAACTGTTCCTAATATTAAAAATGATAACCAAGTCTTAACTTCGCTTCAGAAGGTGGATGTAAATCGTTTGGAGAATGCAGAAAGAGGCTTAACGACTGAGGTTTTCAGGTGAAAACTATCCCGGCAAAACAGCGAGTAAACAGCTTTCTTCAACATTGCAAGTTAATACCCCTTCTTTTACATTCTCCGCCCTATAAATCTACAGTTCATTTTAAGCTCATCTTCACTACAGTTCACACTACTTTATATTGTAATAGCTGATCCTCAACACGACAATACTTGATGACACAATAACAAATGACCCCAGCCAATTCACTGTTTGCTGAAATAGAAACTTCGATAAGAGTAAATAAATGTAAGAGGGAGTAACGCGGAAAATACTGAAGTACATATCACAAAGAAAAATCTAAAAAAACATTTCGCTAGGATTGACTGAAAATCATATAACTTCTGCTTAACATCCAAGGGGTTGTATTAAGAAATCTACTGGGCTATACAAAGTCACCAAAATATTGAGCGTCGGACATTCCCTTGAAAAAGGTCGTTGGTCGCGGAATTGTAGTAGCTTAGTCATGTCTTCTATCGGTAGTGGGGTTCGTCTCTAGTTCTTTACAATTATTTTTTTAGTATGACCTTACTGCATCGCAGTTCTCTCGAGGCGGAAATGTTTTTCAGATAGAGTATGCCTGTAAGGCTGTCGAAAATAGCGGGCAAGAAATAACGTCATTATTTTACCCATGTTTTTAGTACAGCCATTGCTATCCAGGGTAAAGACTGTGTAGTTTTTGCTGTGGAGAATATTGTCACATCAAAACTTTACGAGCCCGGTTGTGTTAAACGAATTTATAATATTGATGACCATATCGGGATGGTAATTTATTAGTTACAATGCCCATACATTCTAGGTGGTGATGGGATTTCAAACTGACGCCAAGGCAATCGTTGAGGCAGCCAGAGAAGAATGCTCAAATTATCGTAATAGCTTTGGAAGCCGTATACCTCTCTATGTATGTTTCCCGTTTGCTATATTTCTTTCTATAGTCTCTGACGGAACGACTGGCTATGTACATGCACGCTCATACACTTTATAGTGCGGTCAGACCGTTCGGTGTATCAGTTTTGCTTGGTTCCTACGAAAACGATGGTCCTCATTTGTTCGTGATAGAGCCTTCCGGGTTGTCTTTTGTAAGTCTCCGCCAATATTGTGCCGTAATTTTCTTATGAACTGCTGTTTTACTCTGAGGTAGAGTAGTTTTTATTTGAGTAATGGGCGAGACTATAATATTTAGATGAACCAATCAGATCTACGATAACAGGTTAATATATTAACGTTAAGTCATTAGAGATAACTACATGTTTGTGTTTACGGAAAATCTGATATATGTGTACATTCATTATTAGCATTAAATCATTTTCGAATACTTCGACTAATTCTATTTTCTGAACATAATGGGGCAAATATAGTGTGCTGTTCGCTACTGCGTGGTGCAAAGAGAGTGAGTAATGCTGAGCTCCTGAGTTAAATATTGATAAAAAAAGTTTGATGAGGCTTTATCCTCAGTGAACATATCTGGGGATGTTTCATATGCAGTCATCGCATACCCTAATACGCATCTAAGGGTAAACAGATTTAGACATGCCACTAGGTTATAAATTGTTAGTCCCCAGGTGTCGACAAGTGCCGAACTCGTCCTCAGACACCGTGAAAAGTGCTTTGTTGATGTAGTCTGAAATCAGTCTTAATAACGCGACTACATTCCTTTTGTCTCCTAAATCCAAATTTTAGTATCCCGTATTTCCGATTCTAAGTTTTTCACCGTTCTTTACTCATGCGGATCATTATCCATCCTGTTTCTTTATATTCTCAGTGCTTAGCAAGGCATGTTATGCAGTCTTAACGTTTGCTTTGTTCACTTTCTGCAGTAATTAAAAATTGTAATTTTAGATGAATACTTATAAAATCCGTACTTTTGTCACACTAGTTTTGAACAACTTAACAATAGTTCTGTTATGAAGTTTTCGAAATCCAATTGATTCTGATAGTCATTGCAAAATTTCCGTCATTCCATTTCCTCCATTAGAATTGAATCTCTCATATTTTGAAGTGCATTATTTGTCAAATCATTACTCATAACATGCTTTCGGTTTATTATTTCATCTCACTGCACTGGTGTCAGGTGTGGAAATTTTATCCGATCGACACTCATGTGAGGTCTTACTTTAGTGACTGACTATTTCATTTGATTACTCTTCTCAAGAGACTCTACTCGTCAGGTTGATAAGCCCCTAAATAAAAGGACATGTTCAAAGCCAATTATTCCTCTCAAGTTCAAGCTTGAAAACTAAATTATGGTGTTGTACAGATTATTTATAAAGTTTCAACCTCGGCACTTCAAACTAAGATCTCTAAGTAGTCTACTTATCTGATACATGTGTAATTTGTTAAATTCCTTTCCATAAACTTCTGTATGACGTTGGTTATTGTTTGTCAGCAGTGTTGTTATTAACCTCAGTGTTGTCATACAAAACATCTGGTCACTCAGTAGATGCCCTAGTGACTTCGCTATATTACAGTAAATTTTGATTTGGCTACTTATTATCAAAATAATAAATTTCCTCTATTTTCTAGAATCTATTTACCTTGCAACATTATTGTCTTTACTTTCTTTACATGAAAGGCTTATTTTGGTTGTGCTATTGGGAAAGCCAAACAAAATGCAACAACTGAAATAGAAAAACTGAAGATGAATGATTTGTCTCCTGAAGAATTAATCAAGGAAGCAGCAAAAATGTAGGTCTTCATGACATTTCCCTGTTTATGAGTTCATTGAGTTTACTGATACTTTGGCGCACGTGTAATTGTTCGAAACATCTGAGTATTAGTAAATATTCACCCAGCAAACCAAGTCCATTCAGTTTGTAGCTAAGTAGAAGAATGTGAAGTACATCCGACGTTTCGTAGATCAATATATGTGCCTCTAGAAGGTTGTTGTGTTACCAACTTGTATCTTTTGACTGTGTGACAGCTGCTCTGAAGAAAGTGTGTAGTACCAGCCTGTATCTACCTTTTAAGAGACCTTACCTACATACTCCGATCGAAAAATTGTCTTACTGTTTGAGATGGCACACAGACTGTTCGCTAAATGATAATCACTAAGAACTACGTAGTAAATAGCGTATGATCACTTTGGATATATTCGCAAAAAAAGATACGAAAGGGTTAAAGTCTGACAAAAAGTAGAAAGGACCACTAAAATAGTTTATTTCGTTTTCTTTGACTAAAAAGGAGACAAACGTATCTAACTTTCACATACAGAGAATAGAGTTTGCTCAAATTCATATAGCTCCGGCTACTTGTAGAAGACGAAATCGAAGCTCGCTGGAAAGGCCAGAAGATATACAGCAAACCTATTTAGAGATTTTGGTTTTGTCGACAGTAACAGATCGTTAGGCGTACGTATTTCGTCCGACCCGTTCCTAGCCGCAAAAGATGCTCGTTGGCTAAGTTGGTTAGTAGTTCAGTGTAGCTCAATTCACAGGAGCAGCTGAATTAATAAATGCGACTTGGAGTAGTAAAACCAGCTAACTTACCCTTTGATTAGCCGATCACTACTGGTCGACTAGATAGCATCCTTGAGAGGCCTATCTTGTAATTTCGTTTTTAATAACATACAAATTGACGGGATAGCAGTGAGACCTTTTTAGGTGTTATCTTACCTAATCTCCCTAAACTATTTTAGTAAAGAACTTTCGAGGGAGTTTAACTGTATACCTTCTGTGACTCGTTCACTTGTGAAAAGATTAAAGACAAATGGCATTTCCTTGACATTCTATTATACAGAAAAGATAGGTGTATCGGTATTACAGTGTGCTAAGTAGTTTATGTACGTCTCAATACATATTTCTCAACTTTCATACTTATTCCCTGCAAGGGAAACGTAATCAAATGTTTTTCACCAATTTCCGCTTATTATACAAAAGATCATTAAAACCAAAAGGGATATCAAAGTTTTTCCTAATCGACAGGCGTGGACCATTGAACCCTGACTTAAAGCTATTGCAGTTTCCCAAGACCTGGGGCTTCGTTCGATTCAATGCCTTTGATGTGCATTGCTTGATTCCGAACTAGGAGTGTCGTTTGTATATGAATGCATGTATGAGTTACAGATTATTGGCCAAAACGATAATAGATAACTGACACGCAAGATTACACCCAGAAGAGAATATAGATAACTAACTACACTTAAGAATTACAGTGAAGTTAATAGTTGAAGACAGTGAAGTTTACTTGACACCAGTCCATGAAAAGATGAATATGTTTACAGAGTTGGGAAGAGCTAGCGGCAGGTCTTACTAATATCTGCTTAAAGTACTATCCATATTTATCACAGCGAACTTCGTTAAGTCTTGCCAATTAGCGTCACAAATAAACTAAACGACTATAAGTCTTCTGATATTAATGTGCCTCAAAACATTTTCCGGATTAGAATTGATGATGTGGTAAATCAGTACAGTAATATCATGACTTAGATTTTAAACTAAAAGGGCACAATGGTGACAAAAATTATTAAGGTCACTCCCAATGTTAATCTGTCTTATTGTGTTGAATCAATGGTCACGGTTTTGTTTTTGTAGAATTTATACCGTTCACGATGAAATCAAGGACAAAAATTTTGAATTGGATCTTAGTTGGGTTGGTGCAAGTAAGTCTATCGATCTGATAATATATACATAAGTTTAGATACAAAGGGTATACATCAACCTGTTCCTCGCAAACTCTTTGATGAAGCAGAGACATTCGCCAAACAGGCTTTAGAAGAAGCTGATGATTTAGATGACGAAGTGGAATAAACTATGTACATTTATTATTTTCTAAATATAAGTTTTCTGAAGCACATATCTTTGAGATTTTGTGGTGTCTCTCAAGCGTAGGTTTTCAAACCAATCTTTATAAGACAACAATCATCATTTTGGATATGGTTGTTGGCATTACACCGAGTGTTCCCAGGAATTGATGGGTAGATATAAAACGTTTGATATTCTCTTTGGATATTGGTGTATTTTATTATTATTACTTATTTCAACACAGATAATGGTACAAAGAGGCACCAAATACATATGCGCCACACAAATCTCATTCGATATGTGTGAGGGCTGTGATACTGCCCGGGTGCCCAAACCGAAGCAGGTGGTTTTCTTAGGGGGCCACACTCCGAGCCTTCGATCCGACGGTCTGATCCACCAGGCAGTGGAGCATCGTAAGGAGATGCAGTCCCATGGAAGCCGGTGACCAACAATTGGTTCATTCGCCATTTGTTCCCGCAGGATACTGGAGCCCATGCGCACCATTGGTTTGGAATCCGGTCTCCCCATAACCGTTTATGTCCCACTTACCCAGGGAGTGAGGTGTCCCACCAATTATGGAATAAGTGTGTTATTTAGCGTTTTATTTAATACTAATTTGTCTGTAAAACACTAATACGGTTAATACTATCCGGACAGTTTTTTGAAGCATTATTCATGTAAGTTCTTAACTCTCACCCATTCAGCATGATATAAAACAACCAATATTTGTTGTAGCAAGTGTATTTACTCAAGATCGCATTGATTTTTGTGTTGTAAATGAATATACAATCACAGTATATCAGGAGTTTACTTTGTAGAAATAACCACGATCAACATTACTTTAGATATTCATTATCTATAAGGTACTCCTGGAGCATCGGGGCCAGCGGCAAACGCCTAATAAGTTCATTTACAGGTTGTTTAGGGAAAGAACGATGTTGCGTGGAACGTCTGAGACATGTGCGTATAGTAACTTTAGACCATAATGAGAGACGTTTCGGCTCAGACAAACATTTACTCAGCCAATCATTCACTAAATTATTCAAATAACTAGAATGATCACAACCCATTTGCCTCAATGGTAGAATCTGGGATATATTTCTAGGTACTTTGGTATGTCGACTAGATTCGACATAGCATGCAATTAATATATTGAACAACTTGATTTTGTAGTCAGTTGATATTGAACGTGGCCAGTCTTGAATATTGCTTAGGAATTTCAGACCTAATTTAGCTGAAAAGTTTACAATTAGATTTAATAAACAATATTGATGAAGCACATGAACTGTAGCAGTCATCAATACATTGGGATTAACGTTTGAGCAACTATTGCTACATTCAATATCATCATCAGATATCAATGGTAAGAAATGCTGATACACAACAGACATAAAAATTTCATGTCCAGGAATATTGTTAGATGCTGGAAAGTAAGAAAGGAGATAAATTAATTTCTCATGATTCCCTGGAGGAAGTGGTTGTAATAATTGGCATTCGCGATAAGCATGATTCAAAAATTTGTCGATGGACCACTGAGTATCATTTAAGGGAAACAGTTTTAAATTAGTATACAACACAGCACGTGAAATAGCAAAAGTGAATATATTATGCCAGAAGAAATCGAAGACAGATTTTGACTGCCTTACACTGTGTAATTCCAGAAGTGTTCCTAGGTTATATTCATGCTCATTAAAGTTCGCCTTAGAACAAACTTCACGCCAACAATCGATCCAATCTGTATATGGGAAGCGTAAGGCTAAGACAGCGAAATATAGTACAAGCGGCAGCAAACACCTGTCCGGAACTGTATTTTTAGGACTCCTATCGATATCTGCTAAATTCCAAATCAATTGTTTTTGGACTTCCGGTTGTTCAATACAAATCTTTGGGAATCCCCATTGAGAGAGAACTTGCAACCAAGTTCTAGCAGATGACGGGGGTGTGTATAATCCTAACTTTTGCAAGCGATGAATACAACTGAAGTTTTGACTAAATGGAACGACTTTTCTTAAAAAGTAGGATGAAATACGCATTAAACAAAGAGATAGTTCTTCTTGATGAATAGACCAACGTTCCACAGCATCTGACCCCAAGTAAATCAAAAATTCTTCAATCCCTATTATTGATGGTTCTTTCTACATGCCAATGATAAATAACAAGTAAAGTAACAAATGTATTTAAATTTACATAACTATTGTAATTAAATTATACAATATGCTCTAAGAGTTTATAAATCTACTCCTATCGAACTTCATAATTGTTTCATTTGGAAAGGACATTGTATTTAATGTTACTGCTTCGATATTGTTTCCTTGTTTTAAGTAGTCTCTTTCCTATTACATCAGTACCCAATAAAGTACTATTTAATAATTTGAATTTCGATTTTCAAAGAGTATCATTTTTATATTTTATTTAGGCCTAATATTGTTGGCTGGTAACACAAATAGGGGGTGTACTTGACAGTGTATGTTGCGCAAAACAACTAACATACTTCCTTAAAATGCACCGAGTTTGTAATTTAATAACTGTGCAAGAGCTTACTCAAAATCAAAATAAAAAAAACAGGTCCGAAATGCAGAGGTAATGTAACAACAGAATGTTGATGTTGGAATGAAAGTAGATTAACGTTATCCTATGTAGAGTTAGTGTTCCAATCAGGCAAGCTGTTGGTCCGTAGTTAGAATCTGTCAAAACTATCATGCTGTAAACGTTTACGAGTGGCTAGAGGTGAATGAATAAAAAAGAGACCATCAAAAGGGCAAGGTTCAGCAATTACTGACACTACGTTGACAATGTATGAAAATTAGATCGATTATTGAGACTTACTTCAAGAACAATGGCACAAATTTCCTCAAATTCACTTAGCATGTATGGGACAGCATGAGCCTTTAGGAGCTTGAAATAAGCTAAAGATATTGAAAGGTCAGTATGCAATGCTAAAATCCAATAGCGATCCCGGCGTAAACGAAGAAAATTTATGTCGAGTGCATCCAGGACGTTAGCGGTTAACTAACATGGTTTTAATAATATGTTTTAGTATAATGTGAACACACCTTCACGTTATCTTGACTTAAAGCAGCCACCAGAGGAGGCACATCATCCGCACACCGATAATCTGTTTCTGCTCCTGCACTTATAAGTAGATTAAATGATTCATAATCACTTTTCTCAACAGAAATGGTAAGAGCATCTTTACCCTTTAAAAGATGTTTATTAGTATATTAACTCACCATGAAATTTTTACGTCGAACTTCTGTTACGCAGTCAAGATCCTTGCGAGCTTGTAGAGCAGAAATGCATATTTTAACACACTCCCATGAACCAGACATAGCAGCAAAATGAAGTGGCATATTGCCCTGTTAAATAAAGACAAACTTCCCGACTTACATCAAAGTCAGGAAGATTCACCAAACCTGGATCCTCAGATAAAATTCGTAGTAACATACTGGGGTCCCCAGACAATGCTACTCTGAAAATAGTATGTGCGAATTCCATTGCTAAAAGAGTGTGTATATTGTTTGACAGATTACACTCAATGACTACTGGATGTCTAAAGATAAGTTGTGAATAGTTAAATTGAGAATTTCATCACGAAACGAATCTGAATAGAATAAGGTAAAAAGAAATATATGTACATGCATTTTATTGAAGCATCTCAAAAATCATCAGTTAATACCTAGAATCTATTTGTTTATGATTAACTTATTGTATTTTTAGGTGCTTACAGATGGTGATGTTCGAAATCTGTTATCTTGAGGACATCGACTATCATACATACCATCAAAATCATAATTTCTAAAATTTTAATGTAGCTTACTATCCAATACACTTGACTTTGAACAAGTGTGTGAAACTGGAATAGAAAATGCAACCAATTGGTCAGAGATCGAGTGTATTTGTAAAACATAAAGCCCACCAGCAGAGATAAGTTACATTTTCAACCTAACCTTTCTACCGCCTAATTTATGCAGCTCCTACGCGAACTAACACGTATTACGAGATAATTATGACATAAAGGGCAAAATGATATGAAAATGTGGATTTCAGGACGAAGAAGCAGATTACTATTTCACTCTAGCTGCCATTGTTTTGGACGTAAATAACACTAGATGAGTCGTACAATCAGTTCAAGACGTTATATGAACGTTGTATTAAGTGCTAGCACAACAAAACTTTAAAGTTGCCTAGTTAAAAGATTCGACCACTTCAAGCCGTCAGTACCTATTACAGAAACCACTACACACCAATCACGACAGCTTCCAAGTGAAAAAACCTTTTTTTAATATACTTCGACCTCTTCAGAAAGCTGACCCCTCCATCTTGGTGTATATAGTTTACGTATATCGCGTTTTCCGTGTGTAAGCAATCATATGTCAGCAGCTATTAATAACCGTGAGGCACATAAGATTTTCCAGAAAAGACCCAAAAATAGCATACCGACGGATGTAGATACTCAACATGTTCAACTACAAACCAACCGATTTTAGTCCATAAAAGTTACGAACTGACTCACCTTTTTACTCAAACACTAGGACTGTTCTTGGCTATATCTGTCTCGAAATTTCGTTACATACTGCTGATCAAATCCAGGGTTGATAGGTTCGCCCCGGAATACCAGTTTATTTCTACAAAATAAGTTGAGATTTTTAACTATAGAAAAATCACACGTTCACTTCGTTTTACTACTGAAAGTATTGTCTTAAATCTAGTTATTAAAAGCTATCCTAGCATAAACTTTCAGCTTGAGTTGAATAGCATGGTGATTGACATTTCTATAGAGGTGACTACTTCAGACATTTTGAATCCCATGAGAACCTCATATTAAAAATCTATGACAACACAAACTTCCTGAACAATGAGTACTATGATCAAAGAGATTTTCGTTCAAAATTTTCTATGACAGATATGATAATATAGTCTTCTGTCTTGATATTTCACTTGGATATAAGTTTAGAGACAAGGTGTTTTGATTTCTCAGACTAGGATTGACATTACGGTTGGGCTCTCCTTGTTGTAGTCCAAACAATATGTTCCGTTTACCAAGACCTTTGT